CGGAAGCGAAGGGCGGCCATGGTAGCGGGCCAGCCGAACGTCGAGCTGACTGGTGACGAAAAGGAGCCAAGGTGAACGAAACAGAAAGAAAAGTAGAAAAAGCGCGCAGGTAGAGAACGTCGTCGGCCAACGCTGGACAGCGTCGAGAGAGGCCGCGTCGGGGAGTAACGGCAGGGCCCAGTAAAAAATGGGGGAACGACGATTCGAAAAAGCGAGACGGCGAATGGGACCAGCGGAGAAGAGACGAGAGGAGAGGAGAGGAGAGGAGAGCGAGTGTGAGAGAGAGAGAGAGGTAAGGTACGATTCCTTGGCAGGGAGTCTGACCAATCGGAGCCCGGTGGGCGCCGCGGGTAGGAGGAGACAGTTCCGCGCCGACAGGCGACGTAATCACCCGCGGCCGTGTCCGACGCTGCTCTCTGGCCCCTCCGGGCCCTCTTTCCCCCTCCCTCCGGCTACCTCCACGACCACGACACTAGAATGACCCCACCACGGACCAGGAACAACCAGCGACGGTCACCGTTCGGTCCAAATGGGTCGCGGACCTAAGGCCAAACTTTGATTTTCGTGCAATGGCAGTCGTGTGACAAATTCATTCTTTTTCAATAGCGTTAAGTGTAATTAAATATTTGGTTAATTCTGAATAAAGTTGATTTGATAATTTCTTTAGCTATAAGTTGATTCTTAGACCCCTGAACCTTTGAAATCCCAGATTTTATTCCTGTTGAAAGTCAAAGAAAATTTCCTCCACTCGTATTTATCGAAGATCCTTTCACGATTTGATGTAAGGGTACACGAAGGAGGTGGTTACACGCGTCTTGTCATCAGGTGGAACATCAAGGTCCATTGCGACTGTAGCCTTGAGCGAGAAGTTCTCGAGTGTTTGGATGATACAGTGAAGAGGTAGACCGGTTGAGAGGCTGCTGAGAGGCTAACAACATATTCACGTTTGATACCTTGGCCAGGATAAATAGGCGTTTCTTCACTGAATCATTTATGTTTCGCCAAGGTATCCATTTGTACATTTCATCAGAAATAAAACCGTATTCTTTACATTTTTTGTAATTTTTCAAAAAGTGCAAAGTAATCCACCGTCACTTTCCCGAAATCCTTTATAGTGGATCAGGTTAATTAATGATTAATTACGATTGAATTTGGCATTGTTTAACCGTGAATAATTGGCACAATTGAATGGTACAGAATCGATCGCGAGATTCATTCCCAACTTCCCTTTCATCATGTCCATCCAGCGTTTGAATTGGAGACCAAATGTGCCAGAGCGGTCGGGCACGCTCGGTCAGGGTGTGTAATTTCGTGTTATTTTCTCATTACATTGAACGATGAAGATGCGATATTGCCAGAGGCTGCGTAATCCGGTGCCGAAAGATACCGATGAAGGCGTCGAAACGATAAGTAGCGTACCGTCGGATAAAGCCATGAAACAACACCTGGGTTATTCATGTCCGATGTAAATTGTACAACCCCATCGAGCGCAGAGGAATGGTATAAAATTTAGAAAATGATAAGAATTTCAATTCTAAATCATACATTGGATCAGCAAAACACCCAGCCGAGGGTTAACTAACGAGTCGGAAAACAAGAATAACGTGCAATTGACGTCTTACACAGTGCCAACATTGTTTTTCTGACACTTTCTCCTGACAAAGAAGCCGCAAGAAGAAAGCAATGGATTCTAATCAATTCAATTCTCGTCGAAAGAAAATCCTGCGATCAGTGAAACCGGCATTCCGTTCTTCGTTTCAAATTCAACCACGCTTTCCTTTAAGATTACCGAGCAAAAATATCAGATGTGGTGTCTCAATTAGGGTACGCTCGTCAAAGCGTAAATTTATATACTCCCCTCCCCTATCAGTCGGCAATTATCGGCAGCTAACTAATTTATACCGTAAAACGGGTATAATTAATAAAGCGGAGTCGCAGATTCACGGGGATAAGGGTATCTCACCGGTAGACGATAATGAAATTCACATTCGGAAGGAGAGGGAAAAAAAGGGAGCGGGTTGAATAGCCAGCATTCAGAGACACCAAGCTATCCTACGTCCGGAGGGGCTGAAAGAAAGCATGCACCTGCTGGATACATTTTCTGACCTACGATTACATCGAAGTTTGCCCCGGCAATCGTTTTCCCGCCAAGATATTTGCTAATCTTTCAGCGTAATTCAAATTGCATCCTCGCGAACACGGTGTATACTAACACTATCTTCCCTGTTTAGAAATCTTTTTTACCTTGCAACAAGAAATTAACTAATGTCGCTTTCGAGTGACTTCGACTCGTTAGCAGGCTGCTATTTCACAGCAAACGGCCTGCTTTCACTCCACTCGGTTCTTCCATTTTCTATTTTCTACTTCTTGACGCGTATCCTGCGACGCCCAACGCCTCGAGCATAATCATTCACGGGGCACGTGGTGTTTCATCTACGCCTCTTTTTAATTTTTCAGAAGAATTGCTAGGTTCAAGGGCGAAATAACACCTGGCACACCCCCATAACTATCTAATTCAACGCAAGGTTTTATCTTGAACCTTCATCCTCTCAGGTGCCAATTTTCATGCATTACCTTCAGCGTTTGTTTCCATCAGGGTTCTGGAGGATCTTTTCTTCCCTTTTTAAAAATTATCCCTGATGCTTAATGGGATTAAAGAATTTTTTCCAGAGGCAACAGCCTAGTAACGCGGACAAAAGGAAGCCACTAGAGTTCTTCAATTCCTAGACCATCATAGCAAGAGCACATCCGGAGGGGAAGAAAAGCGCGGGAAACACATGGTCGAATGGTGTGTAGGGAGAAATGTGGATCAGCTGGTGTTCGCCGATATCGAGAACGCTGCACGTTTGGCCGTTAAACGCCCTTCACCCTTCGCGAAGGTGAGCACATGGCCCGTAGGACAGCGAAGGGTTCCTTCGAAGACACGCACGTTCCTCCTTCGCCGGTGTTCTTATTAATGGCATACATTATTACGGGGATGGTACGTAACGGCCGCGTCAACGGTCCTGGGCACCTGACGCCTTGTAACGAGTTCGTTTCTACAATGGGCGGGGCCCTTTTCGGCCCTTTTCGTCACGATCAACTCCGTACACAACTCCGGTAGCTGTGCCCTTTCTTGTCGCGATCCTGGTAGATACGAGTGGGTGATAAGGCATCTGGGGTCAGTGACGAATCTACCAGGAATCTAACCCAGCTACGACGAGCCATTAATCTTTCCATATCATTTTTTTAATATTTATTTTTCAATTGGAAATTTATGAAATTAATATTATATAATATTAAATTTATAGGAGGCCTTCAAAATATTAACCGCGTTAAAATTAACCTGGTCTCTAAATTTATATCTATCTGAAAGCAGTTAAGAAGCTTTTTTCTGTTAAAGAAATGAAAGAACCGAGGGAAAGGAAAGGCGTAGGTGTGGCATTAACCCCGGGACTAATCATCTATTCCGGATATTACAGGGTGGAAACGCGACGAAATTGTGCGAGACATTGAAGGGAAGGTTGCACCTTACACCACCAGCCAGGGAGGAACAGGTGCCACAGCTGTTTCAGCAAGTGTAATGAAAACAAGTAGGATAGACGGAGGACGGCTATTAGAACTGTTGCAGCCTTGCCAAAGGGGTGCATAACTATTTGGTCGGGTCGTGTACGAGGTGTTGCGAGTCCTTCTTTTTTACGGCGCGACCGTTGAACCAGCCGGACAGGATGCGTGCGCTCGACTTTTCATCTGGTACATCGTTAAATAGCCGTTCGAGACGCTTTAATATTCTACGCGTAACGAACGCGCCTTCGGTTCGGAAATGAGGTCAATGTTTCCACGAATACGTTAACTGTTAATTACGAATAAGATAGTTTAATGGGGAATATCAGGGCGTGAACGTTTGCAAATTATTTGAATTTTTATAACACAAAAGCACCGTCTACATTCTCGTTTGATAGAGCTATTGAAAAATTAATAAAATGTGAACGAAAAATCAAGTCTTTCGGACAGGAGGATATCGTCAGGATATCGCGTTTCCGCCATCGTTCGTATCCTGCGCGTCTCTTCGTCCGGAGAAATGCCGACAAAAATTCAATGCCCTTCCGTTCGATCCGTTTCACACGCCCGCGCGCTTCGTTAAGCTCGATGGGCGAGCGCGTTGATTTATAAGCAGCCACGCGGGAATATAAAACTTTGCCCAAAGTCCAATTTAACCGGGCAGAGAGGGAAGTTTTGTTCTGTGCAACGAGCGTGGTTCCGCTCGGTTCCGCCCATAACGGTGACGGTGTGAATAACTCCGCGTGGACCTCCAAGTCGCCCATGGAATTTTCGACGGTCTTCGATGTGATCGCCCCCAACTTGACACACTTTAGGTTTAAAAATTCAAGCGGTTGCGGATTGCGGTTGCAGTCTTGCATTTCGACATTTCTAAAGCTTTCAAGTAGGTACCAAAAGTTCAATTACCAAAACAAATGATAAATCCTAAAGCATCTAGGCATCGAAGTTCGCCAAAGGTTCACCAACCGTGGCCTTCCAAACATCATCGGTCGTGTCGGGGACCAGGAAGGAGGAACACGGATGGTAGCCGCGTGTCCGACTCCAAAGTGATTCAGTTCTCTTCAGACGTCGGTACCACCGTGTGGGGGCGTCTTGGTACCCGAGTCCACCAAAGGACTCGAAGAAAGTCGGTAAGAGAAGGGGTCGTTTTCATCGTTACCTCTCCCCTTCTATTTCCTACCCCTCTCTTTCTCTCTCTACGTTTCAACAATCTCTTCGTTTAACCGAAATGAATCTGTCTATCCGTCTCTATCCCTCTTCGGGCCGCTGATATCGCCGGTTGCGCGGTGGCGGTAGAAGGGGAGTCAGAGAGACAGGTAAAGCCTCGATGTTGTCCGCGAGCGAGCGAAGGTACGCGGTCGGTTTAAGAGAAAGAGAGCAAGGGAGAAAGATAAAGGAGGAGAGCGAACAAGTGGAGGGAGGTCGGTGAAGCGGAGGTGAAGCGCGACCGGCCCTCTCTACTCCAGGGGCCCAGGCTAGTCCAGTCCGGGACAGCACGCCTCCTGCTGCACGCTCCACGAGGTAGAACGGCGAACGTAGACACGAAGACGTAGGACGTAGGACGTAAGCGCGGGACCAGGCTGTGCTACCACGTTGGCTGACTCGTCCTCCGAAAGGATAAACGACAAACCTCATCCTCGTGTCCCCTTGTCGCGCGCAAGTCGGACGCTGCTGAACGCCGTCTGTTTTCTTCGCGGGAAATCCGGCAAATCCGTCTGATGAAAATCGATCATTTTCGTGGTACGATACGCTTCGTGAACGCGTCAGATCATCCTGAGATCATCTTGGATTCGTTTCATCGTTCAGGATGCACCTTTGACCGGAGGACACTTGTCACCAACACGCGTGTTCGCCGATATAACCGTGATCAGTTGCGTCGAGGATTTTTATCGTCATCCCCGTTCGAACATCGACTTCCTCTTTCACCCGTCCAACACCACCACCATCCCCCACCCCTTGGACATCACACGCGTCCAGCCACGCGATCACCGGGATCACCGATCCGGATGGTTTCGCGCAACGGTGACCAACGAGCCGGTCAGTCCTAATGAACACCTGATCCACGGTGATTGAACATCCCCTCGATTGGATGCATCTGCGAGACGTGATCGGTGTCATCGGTGAATCATCTGTTACGATGATCGGGAAACGTCGGCTTTCTATCGAACGAATTTTTTGAATCCGCGCGTGTCCATCGGTTGACTTTGAATTCGATCATCTCTGTGCTGTTCGATCAGACGGTTTCAATCGAATAAGAAATCGTTTTACCTTGGTGAAATAAATCGGGAAGTTTGAAGAGTTTCGTCGCGAGTTGAAGTAGGGAGGAAGGATTGAATTTTAGATTGAAATTGTGTTGAGAAACTGTTGGGATAAGGATAATCGACGAACTTGTTCTGTGCAGAATCAGTGCGGTTATGATAGACAATTGTGAACGGTGCGACGGGCCGAGCGAACGGTGAAGTGTTCAGTGAATATTCAGAGACTTCAACGCTCGGTTAGAAGGTAACCGAGGGATACAGGCAGACGACGAACACGACCACGACGACGAAGCGATTTCAATTCGGGTAAGTTACAATAATCATCGTTTACTAGAATTAATCAATATTTCGTCTATTTCAGTTCGTGCTCAATTTGTAAAATTTCAATTTTTCGCTATAAAAGCTGTACCGTTTGATAAAAGAATCAATGCAATTCGCACGGAAGCAACGCGCAGTTTACGCTTGCAAACTGGTACACTCTGTGTTCATATTCACCAATTATTATAGGCAATTGCTATCTTACGTAATAATGATAGATCTGCCGTCACATGTTGACTGGCGAACGACAAGTATCTACTCTAAATATCACTGAAATTTCATCAACGTTCTTTCCTATGTTATCCTTCTGTTTCATAGAATGTTGGAAATTTCAAAAAATTTCATGTATTCATTTTTACTTACGAAAAAGAAATATTGGGACTGTAAATTTTCCTCTAACAAATTACGCGAAAGAAAATTAATCGAACCGCGCATCGTTTCCACGGATGTTTCCACCAGATACGACAGCACAGTACGCATTCAATTTACAGACATCGTGTTCCCGCCTCTAACGATCTTCTCCGATCGTCGATTTATCAAATGAATATTCATAAACGTATATACATGCACGAAGAACGATTGCAGTTATTGCGACACGTAAGATCCTTGCGAGACACCGGCTTCATCTTTTTGCATGGAAATTTGACTGATCGATCGCGATAACGATCGAACAGCAGAGGAATGGCCCGTTTCCTTGGAGGGGTTACGTTATTTCAAGAAATACGTTTCTAATCGCGAGCCAACGGGGCATCTGCCCTGTTGCACCCTTGCCAACCACCCTTCGAGACAACTGCCATCTCGGGGCAGTTGTTGCGTCAGGTGGCCATCGTTGAAGTAAAGACCCAAGGAATCGTCTACAGTTTAGGGAACAAGGGTTGTCAGACGATAGGGTTTGAAGGGTTCTATGTACCTTTACTTCCGTTAAATTTGATAACAGACATTAGGCGGACGATTAAGTTGATCGATTCGATGATGGATGATTGATCCTATTAAAAGCATGTGTGATGTTAGGAAAGTGGCGTTAGATTCTAACGGGATTCACCGAAATTTCGGTATTAGAAGCTTTCTTAGTTTCTTTATGATCGGTCAATCTTCGAATCGGTGGATTTCGGATTATCGAGCGTTCGGTTTTTCGTCTCGCATCGTAAGCGTTCAACGCTTGTAATAAATAATGCCCGTCAGCACGCTGGTGCGCGGCAAGTCGCTGGAAACTTGAACCAATCACACGGCAAACGTTCGCCTGACTTCAAGACCATTATCTCAGCTGGACATCCGAGTAATTTTGTACTGTCATTTCGCATCGAACTATACAATTCCTCTCGTTGCGGAGCCGCGACACCGTGCAATCCGTCAAATCCGCTCGTAATCGATCGATCGAGGGTCGCACCTGTTTATCTTCCTCGTGACCCGATCGCGTAATTGCATTTCACAATGATTTTTCCCCTCGCTAAGCTCGTTACTATGCAGCAATGTCGCGGAACGTGTAAGAAAAAAAAAAGAGAGTCAATCGGCGAGTTGGAAAAAACGTCGATACACTGTATCAATTAATAGTTAGTCGATTAATTTACGATACACGAGTCGTAGAGGATAAATTATATTCTTAATGATACCAGGACGAAAGTTAATTGACTCAGACTCTGAATATATAAAGCTTCGAGTTTCAAATTTCTAAAGCATAAAATTTGCAAAGTTTCAATTCCGCAGAGAATTAAAATTGCAAAGTTACGAATTCGCAACATTTTGCACTTCCTGCATCGGAATTCACAGTATTTATTTTCTAAATAAAGTAGGCGTTTTCAGGAGACAAATAGTCGATGGATCATTTGATGGGACGATAAGATCCGCCGATTCCAATTAAGCGGGCAAATTTACAGCTCGGAAAAGTCTGCTGGTCTAATAAGATGTTAAAACTCGGGCAGTATCTCCGATCTCTAAGCAAGATTCACCGAAAGATCGTTATTTAAGAGCGCGTAACGTCAGCGAAGCTCGATCGTTGGATCGTCTCCATTGATAGGTGATCGAGCGTAATCGCGGGATTTTTCAATCGTCTTCCGATACAGCGAACGTTTAAACTTTACGGCGCCGTTCGACCACTCGATTTCCCGAGCTACGGACGATCGTTATTGGAAAATTTATCGTGTTATTCGCAAGCTGGCAGGGTGTTTCGCGCTGTCACTACAGGCCATCTTTAACGATTCGAGGCGTTCTCGTGTTAGCCGGTTCCTACGAGTCCTTCCTGAAAATCCTTGCAGCTAAAAGTAACACGGAATGGCGGATCGTGGTATTACGCACCTATTACGTGTCGTGCACGGCAACTGGAATGCGGTCCCGCCGGTAAAACCGTCTCGAAAACTTCGGACCGATCTAATCCAACGTCTATCAAACCGTTCCTGCGACTCATTCAACGGACAACAAAGTGATATTGCCGTGGCTGCTGGTATGCGACTAAAGAAGCGATCACACTGTGAACGGTGGCGAGCTGTTTCGCTCCGTTTCATTGTTTTTATTGCTTCGAATAATGCTCGGATTAAAATGAGATTACGGTGCTGGAGAACGCTGGAGAAATTGCCTTTCATGGATACACCGTGCGTCTTATGTCGCTGATCATTATCCATTCTAAATTCTCTATTTATATTTACGTGTATTAGCACCTTGAATACCCAGGTGACCTAAGTGAAAATAATGGTACCTAATTATAACGTACCATTCACTGTGGATCAATTGAATTTTTCTGTAGAAACACATTTTCATTTATCATAGGGTTAATCGGAGATATTTCGAAAAGTAATTAGAAGAAGTAGTCGGATCATTGATCGCGCGACTCGTGTGATGGTTGTCACGAGAGGATCGGAATGCGGTCTAGGTGGTGGCCGATCTGATCGCGGCCATGTCAAGGATGCGCGCGGGTGCTTGGCATTCTCGTGTTCCTCTTATTTCGTTTATTAGCCGGCCGAGCGGCGAGTCATCCGCTGGTTAATTGCGGCCTGCCACGGCCCGCTGTTTGCACGGAGTCGCGCGGTTGTACAGTTAACCGCGGCCACGCTCGCCGCGTGTGCTCTCCGCATGTGGTGCACTCCGCCACGATGCTGCACCGCCTAGCTCGCAACTGTACCGGACCGAGAGCTTCCACAGGTAGCTCCGATCTATTTATAGTCATCGCCAGTATACACACGATAGTACCTACAGTACTGCACCCTTCTTAGGTCCCTTGCAACCTTTGCTCTTCTCCATTCCGTCTTTGCGAAGCTTCAAAACTCATTAATTTTTGCAAAGTTCCAAATTTTTAAACTTTTCAATTTCTAATGCTTTTAATTCGCAGTTACGCTAAGTTTGAAAAGTTCCAAATTTGAAAAGTAAAGAGGTTTTACTTTCTTCCACTAGCTTCTTCGAAAAGCTAGTCGAAGAAAGCAAAGCAACAGACTGCCGATTGAACAGAACCAACAAACGCTTCGCGTTATCTGTTCCCCGCTTACAGCATCAGGCCGAGCCACACCTGGCCCCGATTACGTTCTACCTATATATCTATTCCACTTGCAAACCTCCTCAACTATGCGCTCGTTCGGCCAGCTAGCCTGCTGCCGAGATATCTGGCCGCGTACTCGCCAGCCACTTGCGATATCTACGATGCAGCGAGTGCAGCAGGCGAATTTAATGCGAGCCACGATAAGTTTTATTGGTGTTCCATCATAACTAAAATGCTTCGTACCTTCTTCGTCATCCCTCCGTTACAGAAGTGACCGAGAGTATTCGGATATTTCAAGATACTTCAAAGCAAAGCTTCTAATTTTTTCATCGCGTTTCAATCGAATTACCTTCGATCGTTTCTTCCTAGAGACATCGTTTCTCCTCGCGTTATTTCGCTCGTTTTACTCGCGCCTAATCAGCCACTCGTCTGGCATTTCTTATGTATTCCTAGCTCGCTATTTGGTCAGACGGCTTTTTCTGGCAGCGAATACGCGTTTTCAACGGAATTACTGTTCTTACGGTTCCGAGAGCGAGATAAATGCTGCTTGATGGACGAATCATGAGGTTTTAATGGCACCCCGCCGCCGGTCATTCGGATCACCGCGTGGTTATTGCTCTCCAACTGGTCGGTTCATTGCTAGAACTTCATCATTTTCCTACAAACGTGTCACTATTCAATTTTCCAACAGTGCTTTTATTGTTCTATTTCAAACAAACTGCTGTCTATTGCTTTCTTAACATTCCGTAGTCAAGTATCTAGGTTTCGAACGAATGTCGGCAAAATTTAAATGAAAGGTAGAATGTCTTGAGTTTTCCAGTAACTTAAATCCTTGTAAGTTCACTTAACTCGTTTACAGTATCAATTTTACATCAATACCTTCTTTTTACTCCTGTACCGTTAAAATTCTATTTCTACCACCGGGGGAAGTAGAACATATCGAACTCTTATCAAGAGCGATTTTATTGAAATTTTATTACAGCTAATTTGTAACCAATATTCAATATCTTTTCAACAACCGTACGGATTGTTTAATTATTACCCTGTTCAACGTTAACAGTACTCGATTCTTATCGAGTTGCAACAAAGTTAAGCTCTCGGCGATGCTGATAATAAAGACAGAGAGGGAAGCGTACTACTCGCAGTCCATTCGTTCGCGAATTAGAAATTAGTTGTCGAGCATTTACATACTGCGCAGGTGGCCGGTCGCAGCCGGACTGGTCACTGTTTTCAGGGTAAAACGAGTTCCGGCGTGGAAAAAATTGCGACTTAGGTTGGCGAGCACTCGAAACCGGTGTAATAAAGATTCATGATCTATAATGCCGCGACACCAGCGTGTCGCAAAGAAAAGTGTCAATTTGAAAAGGCCACCTGTCGCGAGTGAACCCCACGCAATTTTCATATTGTCAAAAGGAAACGTTAAATAAAATAGAATCATTAATGATATATATTCGATGTGAAATTCAAGTGTCATTCACGTATAATCACAAGTTGAGTTATTTATGAAATCTTCAATCAAAATTAA